AAGAGTCAAAAACAAGAAAATCAAGTGCCACAACATTTTTGTTTGTATTGTCAAAAGCTCTCTACAGCCACGTACAATATCTTTTTTTCTTGGATATCTCTCTCTTTCGCATTCACCAAGATAACCCAACTTGATTTTTACCATTCTATTTTGACTCAAGATCTCTACAAAATTAGTCCTGTTAAAAAGTAAATTGACTTTGTTATAAAAAATAGCAGATTGTCGTAGATTGTCCTCAGCTTTCTTAAAATCTGTATGGAGGACAGAATTAGACTGCTGAAGTGCCGAACCTGTATAAACAAAACAAAATAAAATGATGACAATAAAAAAATGGGATCTTACCTCATTGTATGTCAACCACTTGAATGAAGAGTCAGAGTCTGGTCTGTAACCGTAACATGGTTCATCACCTATATATAAGGGCAAAGATAGACAGCCAACATTATGACTCTTTTTATACTGCTCTCAATTATCATATATAAAAGTTTGGGTACCCCAGATTTTTATTTGCTTGTTGTCTTTTTAAGATACTATTCACACAACAAAATATCTAAATTTTGTTGTTTTCCATGTTTTACTAGTTAGCTACGTCAATCCTTAACCCTTTCACCACCAGACTTCCTTCTCCAATCTGTATTCTTCAATATTTCTGAATATTAACCAAAATTTTGAAGCCAACCAACAAAGTTTGTATCAGTTTTATGTTTTTACTGAAAAAATTTATTCATTTTTGTCCCAATCTTCTGAAGAAAAGCACAGACTATAAACAGGACTATTTTGAGAATTTATGATGAAAAGATGGAACTGGTGGTAAAAAGGTTAAATAAATCTGATTGGAATCAATATTAAAATTCAATAAGTTTATAATATGATTTTTTTATCAAACATAATTTGGTTTTCAAAATGTTTCCACATGATCCATGTATTGTTTACTATCACATGGTGGTCAGGGAAATCTTTACAAAGTACACACAAACCTGATAGTCTTCGCCCTCTAAGAAACCCTTCATGTACGGTCTTAACATCTTCGTACAAATATTCGGTTAATTTGCCGTTCTTAACAGTTGGAAAGACATGAATTCGTTCATTACCCTACAAACAACAAACATATAGCAACGCTTTAAACTGATTGGCTCAAAAACTGTCAGTCAAAATATCAAGTGAAAGTTGTTTTTTTAGTATTGCAAGAAAATGGCTGAAAATTTTGCTTCAGATGGCGAGTGTTATATAAACATTTTATTGATGGTGCTAATTTTGATTGTGTGATACGAAAAAATAGTGTTCCTTTATTGACATTTATTTGCAATACTCTTTTATGTATCATGTTTGTGGATGCATTGCTCTGCTGTGTTGATGACATCTAAATATCCGACAATAAAAAATGTACCAGAAATGACTAAAATATCAACACAAAGACTAAATACTGACACAAGAATATCTATGGAACTACATGCACTAAATTTGAAAACAATTTGAAGAACAGTTTTCAAGAGAGTGGGAATAGAAAGTTCATGACTGGGACACCAACCTGACTCAAGTATACTGACCTTCCATCTTACCAGTAATCTTTAATGTAATACACATTTAGAATGTTGATAGATTTTATTTTTCCTGACAACTATTTTTAATCAGGATGATATATTACCAGACAAAGATTATGGTGGATATACATTTTCTTATCGGCTAGACTAACTAGCATTCACAGACAAGAGAAATCTATAGTTAGTACGGTTTGTGCACTTTTTCTTTAATAGTAGGGGTTAATGTTTTTGACCTCTTTGCCCCATGCTAAACTACTGTGCACAAAAGCAAATATTGTGTTTGAGTAAACTAAATTACCGGTACACTTTGCAAAAAATGTGGGTTAGATTTATTGTTGTAAATTTTGGTGCATCTTGCAGATTTTTATAGATAATTCAACTGAACATAATTTCCAATGGGCTTGATCAAAGTTTCTAATAAATACGGTAAATAATTATTCAGGTTTTATTCTTTGAAAGATGAAATACAAAAGGTTAGAAGACGGCAGTGTCATTTGGGGTCATCGCCAACCTCAAAAATAGTGAAAAAAAAAATTCACAATTTTGAGACTCAGTAAATCAGACAATCAACTAAAAACATAAATAAGTTTTAAGCCACAAGAAAAAACTATTTTTCATGCCTGCAAAAAAATAAGCATTATAATGGAGACTTACCGGCAGTTCTATAGATTGCTTATTAATGTCAATCTTTGGTTTAATAGGACTAGGTCTTGTTAATAGCCAGTATGCTGTAGTACCCGCTACAACACCGAGACTGACCACTGTGGAATAATCACTGAGTACCTTCAAAGCATCGGCCATCATGACAGATGAATACCTAACCTAATGGTAATAGAAGAGAGTTACGTTACATACAACAACACAGACAGTTTACTGAGCTATGGAAAGGTTAAAACCTGCCAGAGGCAAAGGGTACGGCTAGCTAAAGTTAATTGTTATCTAAATTGACCAGATTTAAAAAGTTCTTAGGTAACCATGGAGATCATACAGAGACGGAAAACAACTGCCAAAAAAATATTAAGAATCCCAGCATTAATTTACTTTCACAAAGAATGCTTTATTACATTGTATGATATCATTTCATACCAGTGGTCAAAATTAAACAATAAAACAAAATGTTTTTGCCGCGCTTCACTGATAATGTGAATTTTTTTTTACTTTATCTATTATATCTATGTTTACAACATGAGGATGAGAGAGCAAAGTATCATAAAAAGTTTAAAGTGTATTGAACTTTATTTTTAGATTGTTAAGATTAGATCCAAGTCTGGGACACACTATATTACAGTTGCCTGGCTGACTTTACAGTGTTTGACTAAATGGAAACAACACTTATTTATGCAAACTAAAAATAAGGTGAAAATTGAGAAATATAAGTTACTTAGGAAAGATCCATGAAAACCTTTGAGCAAATTATTTTTTCATGGTTTTCATGGTGTACAAATTTGTATTCTCTTTTATATAGGCTCTAAAAATTTATTTGTTTATGAAGGTGTGAAATGGTGACTGCATTTTTAAGTTACTACATTTAAAAACAAAATTCTACAGTTATACTAAATCTTGATCACTGAGTTGACTTTTGACCTCAACTGCTGCAAACTTTACAAGCAGCTTTAACCTTTTCACCACCAGAGTTTCTCGCATAATTTGTTTTGCACTTTTTTTTTTATACATTTTTATGTATATTCTTCACTATTTCTGGAAGTTAACTCTAATTTTGGAGCCAGCAGACAAAATTTGAGTTAATTTTCAGTTTTTACTCCAAAAATTTGGCAATTTTTGTCCAATCTTCTGAAGGAAAGTGCAGACTATAAACGGGACTATTTTGTGAATTTGTGATGAAACGATGGAACTGGTAGTGAAAAGGTTAATTCAATTTGTAGTAATAACAATTCCTCTGGGGTTTTATGATACCGATGGTCAGTGTTTTCATGAATGCCATAAAATTGTGAAAATATCAAGCAGCAAAAATTGAGTGGTCTATAGTATACACTTTACAATAAATATTCATGTAGAGTACAATGCATGCATTCTTTTAGGTACCCCTGTCAAAGCAGAGGTCATCCCATTGAGAAAGAACATATTAAAACACAGATCCCAGGCATTGGGTAGCACATTTATCAGGACTTGCAGTAATATTTATATGATATATATAGAGGACTTTTTTTTATTTATCAGCGGGCAATTTTACCCAAAATGGAGATTATCAACAAATAAGAACATATTGTCCTCATTAGTTTCCATTACAGTGCTTTATTTTTGATAAATCTCGCAAATACATTTTCTAAGTGTGAACAAAATCTCATAATTTGAACAATTTTTGAGGTTGTCAACAATTGTGCCATCTTTTTATCGTCTGCAACTTAGAATCTAAGTGTCTCGAATGTTATGACATCAGAGGCCAGTAACAAAAAAATGACATCAGAGGTAGGAAATTCACTGGGAGAGGTCAATATCAATATTTATCAAATAATCATGTGCCCAATTATGACTAATAACATTAACTGTTTCATACATGAGTGATAACAATAATATTTATCAATTGATAAAAATTAGCTGACCAATAACTATTCCTAGACAATACAACTTTAATACAAGTAATGAGATCCTCTGGTGATAATTGAATACAGCACAGTGCAACATAGACGTGGTTTCGCTGCGTTTTGGTTCAAATAAGGGTTCTAGGATTCGCATGCCTATATCTACAGCAGTGTCAATCAAGACCATGGAACTATTTTTTAGCTCCATGATCAGACGAAACTACTACCTAGAACCAGAGGTACATTACTTGGGGTTTGCAACAACGGTGACATGATACCAAGATCCCATCACAATCTCGCTCTCGCATAAGCGTTCCAACTCAGAAAAATGCGAATGCGCATGCCCGAGGTAACTAGGATACTGGGATGTCC